AATATAGTATTAGTATTAATAATGTAGGCAATATAGCTATTAATATTATTACTACCCTCTGATAATCTACAAATATAGTCCGGAGGTATACAATGGTAATTATAAGTTAAGGGAGAAGCAGTGGTCAGAAATTTTGAAACCAGATTCTATAGAACCATGGGGAAAAACTCTTATCTTAGAGATGTAGAATTCTATCTCTCGAAGGGTTTGTGCACAGTGACATTCGTGCGGTAAGATTGTGTGTTGCAAAGAAGCATTTGGACGACATTTATATGTAGAGTTATTAGGTGATATGGAGTACACAAACACCACCGACTTGTGTTTTACCTATTTACCATGATTTTTTTTTTAAACAGCCCAAGTGCATGCATGGGTTGGGCATGTATTCCTTCATTTCGCCAGAGAGCGCTCCCAGAAGGACGTATACAGTCTTACACGGGTTAGTGGCTACTCCCTACTAGTATTATTACTATTAGAACTGTAGACTATACAAATATAGTCTGCAACTTGTAAGCGATCAAGGATAGTTTGGTACCCCGCAAATGTGTTATCGCATGGGGCACCATATGTCCCAATTCTGGAGTGCAAAACTAGGCTTGAGCCGTAAGTTAACAACTAGGCCTATCATAGCTCTAGTACTATAGCCCGCTTACATTAACTGGCGCTGGCGCCAGCGGCAGTTAATGTAAGCGGGCTATAGTACTACTACTAGAGCTAGGCCTATCACTGACACTTATGTATCAGTGGGTGAATAATGACAAATTTGTCATTATTCATTCACCTGTGCAGCAAGTATTGAACTACTTACGCTAGCATAATAGTTTTAATACTAAATATTAATTATTATAATGCTAGTGTAGTAATGACTAGTCTAATATTGGCATTGGGGCCCCAAGGATAGAGAACATGGGTCCCAATAAAACCAATGTGCCTAAACCTAACCCTAACCTATTATATTGATATAATATTATATTTATATTGATGTAAATGACATTGGTTTTATTGGGACCAATGTTCTCTATCCTTGAACAGGCATGGCCCTTGGCATTGGCATCACTGGCAGCAAGATCAAGCCCGCGCGTACAGCACACACGCGGCGCCATTGACTATATATATACAACTGTTGTATATATATAGTTGTATATATAACTGTTGTATATATATAGTCAATGGCGCCGCGTGTGTGCTGTACGCGCGGGCTTGATCTTGCTGCCAGTGATTGGCATTGGCATTACTGCGCATTACATTAGCAACGCGTTTGACTTGCCAGTAATTTGTGCCTATATACGAGAAATATATGAGATAGCGAGCCATTTCCATGGGGTTAGGCCTACTACATTATCTAGAACATAGCTGAAAACAGCGTATATTTTCCCATAAATATAGAAAACAAATCTTTCTATTCCATATCCATGATTTTTCTCATCACATTACACAGAATCACAAAAATACTATTTCCAACCAGAGGTGGCGCGGAAGACAGTTCCGTTTCCGGTTCCCGTAACGTGTACCGGATATGTCACATGTGTAACCAGAACGAGGCATCGTAGTCGTGTAAGATTTGTTCATGTAATTTCACATTTTCTATCAATATCGTTTTCTACTACTACTAGTACTACTAGAACTAGTAGTAGTACTACTACACTAGTACTAGTACTAGTACACTTACTGTCTGAGTGTGTCAGTGACCGTGAGAGTGTCAGTGAGACTGGTAGGCCTACTGATCACAGGCACAGTACTTAGTTATAACGTTTCAATCATAAAATGGTGGTAATTAATACAAAACTTACTTACTTAGTTACTACTAGCACCACTACCAGTCTTAATGTTTCTCTACTCTCTTTTGCCCACTATTGCTGATAAATTCCTGTAAATGCCGTTCAGTTGCTCTGCAACACATAAGTACGCTGCATGCACAAACAACAAAAATAAAGAGCAGGTGAGAAAGCGTGACTGCAAAATTTGAACGGAATTCGCTTTGTTTACACTATCACAACACAAATATGCAACCAACTGCTACCATTTTGGTATCAATGCGTAGCTAAATGTTCACTTGTTTGAATGGAAAATTCCCACTCTGCCAATATGTAAATGTTGTTTGTGCACAGCGGCGTGCGTGCGGTGTAGTTCAGTGTTGAAGAGGAGCATTTAAATGGCAGTTACAGGAAGTTCTTGTCAATAATAGACGAATAAGAGTAGCGAAACATTAAGACTGGTAGTGGTAGTAAATTCATTTCATGTTTATATACCATCATTTTACTATTGAAACGTTCCAAGTGCTTGTGATACTGATATTGAGGCTCACACACACACTCGCACACGCACACACTTACTTTCCCCGGGTCGTTTCAATAAGAAAGTAGTTGTAAATAAACACAGGTTTAATTTCCCTTATTACTACTAAAGTTTTAAATGTTAATGTACTCTATTACAAAATAATTCCATTCAAATGCCGGTCAAACGCTGCTATGCAGCACACAAGTCCAGTACACATATGCCGCTGTGCACAAACTAACAGAAAGATGGATCACTGAGCATGTTGGAAAGCATGAGTGCCAAATTCACTCAACACTCACTTTGTTTTACTTTGTTTTACACTATTAGTAATAGTGTAAAACCTTGCACATAGATACAACTTAATTTTCGCAGAGAACTATTGTAAATTCCTGCAGAAAACTCTCACTCCATAGCAATGTAAACCGGAGCAACTCTGTTTATTATCCAAGACCCCTTTTCGGTGGTATTCAATTGTTTGACCAAAGAATGTAGTTGGGTGTCTGACGGCATGCTTTCGTAAATCGCACTGGCTTGGCTTGGATCTGAGTGGTGGAATTTGTCTTGGAGGTCGGAAGCAAGGAGCAATGGAACCCAGAATTCAATATAATACAAACAAACTAAAAAAAATTGATGAGGAGAAAGCTAGCAACCAATTGAATTATAATGCCTTGTGCCACATGATACAGTGATAGGAAACCCATTTTACACGTTAAAATGCAGCCATATAATATCTTATATTAGCTATCAATGTACAAACATCTTTTGTGCAGTACTAATGATGAGGGAGACATTCTCATGACATTAATAAAGATAGGTTAAAAGATAAGTTAATAAAATGATGTCAGGAACATAGATTTCAATTGCACATGTTTTACTTTAATTTATAATAACATGCATTCCTTGGACATATCAGAAATGATTTTATTGATTACATGCATTGTAAAAAATAAGCTCTAATGATTGAGGTGCAGCATTAAAACATGTGTTTTATGGTGTATTTCACTAAAATATTGTTTTATTAACAGAAAGACATGCTCAACATTCAATTGAAAAATAATTTCTTTTTCAGTTTATTTATAGGCGGCTCAATACAGACCAAGTGTGTAACCAAAATGGCAAGCGACAGTGCAGAAACTGTAGTAAAGGAGCAACCATCGTTCGTTTATCGTGTATATCATGGCATATCACAGGTGTGTGCAATGACGTTAACTTACTAGTAACAGCACTGGCATATACATTTTTGTTTGTTAATGAAAGCAAGTGTTCGTGTAGTCTATAGCATGTTGTTATAATTGCTATTATGATAACATTACATTAAAGATGAAATTTAGTTTACCAAATTAAATTACCAATTAAAATGTAATTTGCCAAACTAGCAAGAAATGTTCCAGTGTGAGTTATCACGTGCCACATTTATGGCAGTGTATGCTCATCCTCTGTTGTGGTTTTATTCAATGCAGAAATGCCAGTCGGCGCTGGATCATGTTGTTCCATACTCAACACAACGATGGATAGGCACTGTTATGTTCGGTGCTCTCTATTGTTTGCGAGTGTTTTTCTTGCAGGTAAGTTAAGCCAGTTTGTTTGAGTGTTTACTGTGGAGTGAATTTTTGACAATAATCATTCATTAACCTTATTGCTAAATTTTGTTGATAAAAATGTTTGTCATTATATTTTCGGGGTGCTTCATTGTATACATGTATGCATGCTCTTCAAAGTAAGGATTTCCCAAAGTCCTGCACATTCTCGTAAAAAAAATTCCAACCATAACAGTACTTACTAGTATTGATTGTGTAACAGAAAGTTTCTAAAGTAGGCCTAACATGTCTTAAACTGCATGTTTTATTTGATTTATTTGAGAGAATAAATTTAAATATAAATTTTTAGAAGATTAACAACTTCCCCCACATAAACATAATACATATTATAAATTAGGTGAAATATACGATGAGATGTACAGTTTACGTCATAGTACTTATATGGAGAATTAGTAAATCTGATCTTTCAATATATATATAATTAATACATATAAGGAGTAAATAATCTCAAAGGAGTTTGAGATGAATTTAAAATTTTATACTTCAAATTTTGGCATAAAGAAAATACAAAAAAGTATATGTTCTTGAGCTTATTTCATACCTTTATTATTCGCCTATCTTGTACTGAAATCGGTTTATAGCTATTTACTGTTGTGTTTCGTTAAATTGTATCCAAACACGGAGTTGATTCGGAGGCTTTTTAGCAGGTTGTCTCGTGTATGTAGGCGTATTTTGTTGAGAGATACTAGCAACCACTGCTGTAATCTTCCGCATGCGACTCTGCAGGGATTGGAATGTTTTGATCTCGCGAGCGAGAAATATCACCAATCACTTATTTCATTAGTTTGCAATGCATCTACGGTCCAGTAAGACATGTATTCGCTTGCAAGCACTGTGTGATTGCATACATATGGTTTTGGTTACATGCATGCGCGTACTACGTGCTTAGGGCATTATGTCACTCGCAAGATCGAAATATATATGGGGGGGAATCAGGGAAATTTGTTTTTCGGGGGGCTACTTTTCAAGCTCGCGTGCATGAAAATAGCACTCTAAAATTTGGTTTGCATTGAACTCACTCAACTTACGGGTGCTCTTTTTGCCATTTCCGGGGCTCTTTTTGGCATTTCGGGGGCTAAATCGCCCCGAGCCCCCGTGTATTTTTTTCACTGGGGGGAATATTATATGAATGAAAAATGTCAGGTAGCTAGCACCTTTTAGAAATCAGAAATTATTTTCATGTTTTAAAAGTTGACATCTATAACCCCAGAAAAGTACAATTATTTCATTACAGGGATGGTACATTGTTACGTATGCCTTGGGAATATATCATCTCAACCTCCTCATTGCCTTTCTATCGCCAAAAATCGACCCAGCGTTAGAAATGGAAGGTAAGATCTTGTATGTGTATTGTTATCTAACAATAGTCTCTGTGTATCAGTTATCAATAGGTTCTTATATACTTTAATAATCGAAGTGTATTTAATTATATAAATGCAATAATCATTATGCTTCAATTTGCAGATTCCGACGATGGTCCCAAGTTGCCAACCAGCTCGAGTGAAGAGTTTAGGCCATTCATCCGACGGTTACCAGAGTTCAAATTTTGGCAAGTGCTTTATTCATGAGTTTGTGTTAAAGGCATACTAGGCCAATTCATTATGCAATGTTGACGAATGCTAGAGTAACTGCCACTATAACTGCCACTGCACCTATTAGTTTGTCCAATATCACTGCTAGTTACATTACAAGCAACACTTGAAATCGCTTGTTGATATTCATTTACGTGCCGTAAATGTCATCCAGGAGTCAAGCGATAAGTCGCCGATGACGTAAACATTTGTGCAGCCCGTATATTTTGCACGCCACATGAAATGGAGGTGTCAGCTGTGTAACCACGGCCACGGACTAAACATGGAAATCGAGTAAAACAGACATACTAATCACGGACGCACATCGACAGCCCTGACAAAAAGCCACAAGCGTGCGTGTCTACCAAATCACTGATAATAGCATTGCGTACAGCCGATCATGCGTGCAAAAATGTCTGGTCCGCTATAAATCTGTATCACACTCGCTTCGCTGGCAGCGATTTCAAAGTGAAACTGTCAACTGTAAACATTTCTTGGACTGCAGATTTCAATTACACATTTCTTAGTAACCAGCAGTGATATTGGACAAACTAATACGCGTTTCGCTATAAGGTAATGTACTTATTAACTACACAAGGTGCCAGTTACTGTAGCATTCATCAACATTGCATAATCAATGGGTCTAATATGCCTTTAAGCCAGTGTAAATTGTATGAAAAGTTTCATGTAATTCATTATGTAATAGTTATGAGTATTCATGTATTAATCCAAGTAGCTAAGCAAGTGTATAAATTGCGACCTAATTGGACTTCTTTCGTTGTAATTTATTATGTAGTGAATAGAAAAATAGCTGCTGGTATATTATATATATATACATATACATTAATATCCCCTGTTATGGTTTTACTTTAACATAGAGATGAAGTCGATATATATGGGTCACACAAGGGATATGAAAAAGATGTCCTTTATAGACGGGTGGCAATTCTATAGAGGTAGTTTCACTATATAATTGCCACCTAAAGGAAACACCAAAAGTGACTCTTATAGACAGGCTTCCATTATATAAATGTAGCTGCTAATACAGGTTAGGCCAGTAACATTTGAAGTGTGATGAAACTTGTTGTTCATTGTAGGTACTCTGCGACCAAGGGGATTGTGATTGCGCTGATCTGTACGTTTTTCGAAGTGTTCAACATACCAGTGTTCTGGCCCATCCTTGTCATGTACTTTATTACACTGTTCTGCATTACGATGAAAAGACAAATTAAGGTGAGAATAGGTCCAGAGGCAGTTCAAGGAATATTCCCTGTATGGGTTAGCATGTGTAGAACTGTCCTTAACACTAACATGTCTTAGAACCTTCGTACCGCTGCCATTTCTTGCGAATCTTGGACTCTTTATAATCTTGCGATATCGGCCGGGGATAAGTAATTTTTAAATCGCACCTAGTTCACTACACGGAATCAGATGCCCTTTTGTTTGAATTAGGTGCACTTATCTTGAAGGCACTATTTGCAAATTATTTGTTGCTATAATCAAATATGGCATGGTGTCACAATGCATTCGATTACAATTTTCTGTGCTATAACAGCAAAAATTCGTAGTGTTTTCCAATGTGGCGTAATCAGTAACATATCTGCTATTAGGTGAAACTATGTTTTGCTAAATTTTTCCCAGATTCTGATTTTTTAAGCAATGATTTTGAAATAATTTCTTTAAACAAATTATAAAGGTTATCAATGGACTCTATATATTACGTGGGCATAAATGAGGCAAAAGAGTGTGTTAATAACTTGCGCAAATACATTGGCTGGTTGAGAATATAATTTGTTGTGTTTCTCTTTGTAGCACATGATCAAGTACAGATATATCCCATTCACACACGGGAAGACAAAATACAAAGGCAAGGAAGACACTGGACGTGTACACCAGTCGAAGTAGACAGTTGTTAAGTTAGGTAAATGAACCGTATGCCGACGCAAACTGCTTCGCTCCAAGTGTGATCGGAGAAGCCAGAAGTTCTGTATTATTCCTAACTATACTTTTATGCTTATTTGAAATGAATGCACATAAACAACGGAGAATCGGTTTCAATATTTGTTGGTGATAAAATTCAGTCTTGGATTTGTATGCAGTTACAATGGTAAAGCATCTGTAATGACTCATTTGTCAGATATCTGTGATTGACAGTTTCGCACTCAGTGCTTGTATATACTGACAGTGTCACAGGTAATACGTTTGTAACCTGGTTACTATGGAAACATCTATATATACGTATAGGCTTGTCTGATTGATTGGGGCAGTCACACCAATACCAATCGTTCTGTCACGGAACACGCCTGAAGTTATCAATTCATTTGATTTCGTGTGGTGATTTTTTCGATGTGGCCCAAATTCCAAATTGGCCTGATATCTTCTGGCACATTATCATGAATGCTCCGCTCCCCCCCCTCCACACACACAAGCAAGCTCAATCAATGGCAAACCCAATACAACTGCATCGAGATTGGATATTGTTACAACTCGTGATTTGAGACTAGCAGGATGCTAATTGCATTTTCTGATGACTATTTAAGTCTAACACACATAATTGACATACGTGCCTGATTCGTGATTGGTGTAACTATTCGTCTCTTCGTTATTGTTGCTAGCCTAGTTTCTGTGCGTTCTTCACGTGTGCGGCTAAATTGTCGACAGCATTTCAAAACATGGCTAAACAACGTTTTTAGAATTGCACTATCACAAATTCACAACACTAATCGGCTATAGCTGCTTGTCAATCAATCAAGCCAGATCAGTCCAATGGCAGCAAAGTGGTAATCCACTGCATAAACAATAGGTGTGAGATCACTATCAGCAATCCAGCCGGTCGTGGCGAGCATCTAATAGTATGTCCTGTCTGAGCTACTGTCGCATTCCTGTAGGTTTAACATGGAGACACGAACAATTGTTAGCTAGTCTGGAGGAGTTGGAGGCAACCAGCAGCTGTGTGAAGTCTGAAAGCGTCGGCTAGGTTGTACATATTTCGCTTCTTCGTAAGGGAGATGCGTTTTTTAATTTTGTTTGCTGCCGACCTGTGAATTAACAATGCCTAAGAAATTTTGAATCGGTTGCACACTCGTGCGAAGTCTTGATTTAAATTGTGCATTATTATCAAAAGATTTGGAGCATTATTTGGAGACAGAAGTACGAACAGTGTTATGAGTAAGCAGACACTGGTTATCTCTGTTTGTTTGTGCGTGCGTGTATGTAACCATGCGATTCACCGCAGACTAGGCCGCAGTTGTAACCGTCGCTTCATTTCAGAGGTTTTTCGACTGCAGGTAAAAATTGTCCATGTTGGTAGCAAGATCAGCCAAGGCCAGTGGCATGCCTAATCCATAATCAACATGCTACGGCACTTATTTACCGCATTCAGCTAGTCAAGCATAGTGGTGTGATTTTCATGTTATAGCATGATGTGTGGTGTCATTCAGTGGCACGATATAAGTGATGTGGTTCGTGCCGTAGCGTGATGATGGGTGGAATCGATGTGTTGTATGCTGTAGCGTGTGATGTGTGGCCTTGCTTTTGCTAACACGTGACAGGAGTGGTGTTATCAATACCGTAATATGATATGAATGGTGATATTTACAGCATCGGCGTCATCAAATGTACAGTTCCATTTGTATGAAAAGGTGTTACCTAGTGTCTGTGTGTTTAATCCTGACAAACTAGCATCCAGCACATTTCAGCTTATTGCATGTTTATACAGACTCATATTTCACGAAATAAGATTTCTGCTTCTGTGGGGAAAATGGGATCTACTTTTAACATTAATATGTATATCAGGAGTCAATAATTTCAAATTACTCACATTTATTTGAGATTATTTACTCCTGATATGTATATATATATTCATGAGTATTCATGTGTATGTTATTAGTAGTGGCTCCTATATTTTTCTGCAATTGCAGGTTATTGATTAGATCATGTATGTTCTCTTTTACATGGCCCAATAAACACTATTAATTCCTCTGTGTTGAACTTTAACACATGTAATAGGTGAATGTGTGAGCTGCGTGTTTTACTGACTTTCACATTATTTTCTAAATTAAGCAAGAATAGTTATGGTTAACTTCGGTTTCATCCTGGTTTAATTGATAAAGAGAATGTGGGAATGGCTCACTACTGATCTATCCACAGTGTATTACCTCACAGGGAGTTGTTGTGCTGTCAAAAATGTGCAGGTATGAAAAAGTTTGTGAATTATTATTGAAGTACAATAAAAACTATGTTTTTCAAATTCATAATTTTGTATCTTTTGCATGTTATATGTTCTGCCTGTGCGTGTCTTAGTAAATGTAACCACTGTTTGAAGTTGTAGGGAGTAATTATGCAATTTATTTTGTGTCTTAAGCCCGGCGCACACGTGGCGATTTTTGTCGACAGAACCGGCGATTCTGTCGCCAGCAACAAAATCGCCGAGAAATCGCCACGTGTGCGCTGCCCGGCGTCACCGATTTTGACGCCAGAAACTCGTCGCTGGAATATCAAACATGTTTGATATTTGTTGCCCAGTCGCTGAACAATCGCTACGTGTGCGCCGCACTGGCGATGGATCCCGGCAACAGTTTTTGGATTAACCAATCAAATGCATGATTTGCTAAGCCCCACTGTCTGATCAAATATTGGCAGCGCCTGTGGTGTGGTTTGAACAGGTCACGTACAGTTCATACAGTGGTATGTCGCTGATAGACAGTTGAATTGTCGCCGCGGGTGCGCACAACGTGGCGATTTTTATCGACAGTACCGGCGATAAAAATCGACGGTACTGTCGATAAAAATCGCCACGTGTGCGCCGGGCTTTAGTTTTAATCTTTATAATATAAAGTTCTTGCTTCGCTGCAACAAGAAAAATTACACATGGGCCTGTCCGGGATTTGAACCCGGGACCTCTCGCACCCAAAGCGAGAATCATGCCCCTAGACCAACAGGCCACGTTGGTAAACAATCACGTATATGTCTATATATACTAACTTCGTTTCTCAACTTATTTTGAAATGTTTATCGGAAATTATTTTTAGCGGTTCAATTAATTATAGTGTATTATCTTGGCATTACATACAGGCAAGCATAGCTACAGGACTATATACTTTGTCTGACCATTTACCGTTTTACGCTATTCACCCGACATTTAATGATTTATATATTAATGTTTTTAACACTAGATGGCGCACCAAGGTGTGCTCAGAGCCAAAGCTCTACTCTCTACTCCAACTACGTATATGATTATATATAGTGGTGCTCTTGCTCCATCTAGACTATGGTTCTGGTGTGTCTATCAGTGTATATCTGATGTCGGTCTCATTTAAGGTGAAGTGACTGCAACAGTCAAATATAGGTGCCCGCGCTCAGGCTGTCTACAGGAACAGAAGGAGTAGTAGATGAGTAAAGAGGAATAGAGCGAGAGCCACATCAAGACACATATTAGTAGTATACCAACATTGCTATTCGGTATAGCATTTTATTTAGAATTGATACGAGCAATATAAGGGCTTCCAACAAACAGATTTTTACGATTTTGTCTGTGAACTGATTGAATAATGAAAGACCAGTATTACTTCATACTACCAACAGAAATATACATGTATATAAAACACGTGGACCATTCTCTCCTTCTCCATACACAACAGTTCAATAAGGAAGATCCCATTTTCTCTAAATAAGAAATCCTATTTCTGTTTATTAACACAGTGACAACAAAGTTTAGAATTTAAAATACAACGTCAAGACAACATTGCTACATTGAGAAAACTGATTAGGTCCATTATTTTCATTGTGAACGACTGACTACACTAGACACTGTTGTTGTTGTCGTTGCACATATTTGACGTTATTAATTTAACATCGTTGCAGATGGCAGCACTGCGTGTCGTATCTGTCACCCATACGGCATCACTGCGTGTCGTATCTGTCACCCATACGGCATCACTGCGTGTCGTATCTGTCACCCATACGGCAGCACTGTGTGTCATATGTGTCGCCCGTACGACATCACTACGTGATGTATCTGTCGCCCGTACGACATCACTACGTGTTGTATCTGTCACCCGTACGGCATCACTGCGTGTCGTATCTGTCACCCGTACGGCATCACTACGTGTCGTATCTGTCACCCGTACGGCATCACTGCGTGTCGTATCTGTCACCCATACGGCATCACTGCGTGTCGTATCTGTCACCCATACGGCATCACTGCGTGTCGTATCTGTCACCTGTACGACATCACTGCGTGTCGTATCTGTCACCCACTACGGCATCACTGCGTGTCGTATCTGTCACCCATACGGCATCATTATGTGTCGTATCGATCGGACAGGCCCGGACGGGTCATGCTGCTGGCGATCATAGTAACCCTGCCCACCGCCTGCGAGCGGTAGCGCTGGTTGTACGCGCCACTCGGCTGATAATCCTGACGCTGCTGCGGCGGCGGCCTCCGCTCGAGTATCGGCGTCGTCACGATCTCGGCAATGTCCACTTTCGCGACGTGGTCGCCCTCCGCTAGCGCCCTCTCCAGGGTCGAAAACTGCGCGGTGAGCTCCTCGCGTTGCGCGCGCCCACGCGGCGCCGCACGGCGCGGCGAGCGTCGTCGCGCACACCTCCTGGCCGCGGCGCGTCGCCGTCTCGGGCACGTCGCGCTCGATGACGTATCGCGCAGCACGGCAGCGCCTCGTCGACGCGGTCCAGGTCGGCGAGCGCTATCAGCTTCAGGTTGCGCGTCGTGATGTAGTTGACCTCGCGCCAGCGTGAAGAGGACTCGAGCGCGGGCTGCGGTCGCGCGTGCCCGATTCAGCGCGAGCATCGCGGAGGAAGGCGCATGGCGCGGCGCGCATCGGCCGGCCCGCTGCGCTCGCGCACTCGCGCGCCAACGCCGTCGCCCACTCGTCTACGCAGCGGGCGTGTCCATGCGGTAGCAGGCGGCGAGCAGAGGATGATGCAGTCGCGCGGGTAGCGTGCGCGTTCCAGCTCACGCCCGCGTAGCAGCTGGTAAGTGTCGAGCACTTCCTGGTAAAGCTCGTGCTTATAGAGCAGGTCCATGAGTATGAAGAACGAGGACACCTGCGCACGGAAGAGAGAGAGGACAGGCGAGTGAAGTTGGCATGTGATGAAAGAAAACGCACCGCATTGACACCATACACATGCATACACCAACACGCACGCACGCGCGGGCGCGCGCGCACACACACCACACACACACACACACCACACACAAACACACAAACACACACACACACACACAACACACAGAAACACACACACACACACACGCGCGCGCGCACACATACAGGCATCCACAGAGACGTACACACAGCTACACACAGACAGACAGAAAGACAGGCAGACACACGTACACACAAACACGCACATGAATGCAAGCCACGCAGGCACTCACGCATGCACGCACGCACGCACACGCACGCACACACACACACAGTCACACCTGTTGGTACACACCCAGGGTTCTTGTTAATAGCCGGTAACCGGTTATTTTTACCGCCTATCGCGCAATTTGTTTACCGGCTATCAATTTGAGAGAAACTCCTACTAAAGGCGGTAAAATATTTAATCCATATTTGAAAAAACGAAGTTTATTTAAATACTTGGCAGATACTACTAAAATAAGAGGAAATAACACTGTTACCTGGACTTTTACTTGACATTTATGATTTTTCTTTTTTATATAATACTTAATAGCATATATTTTCCTATCTAATTATTACAAATTCTAGAACCCATACCCATCAAAATAGGCTATTTTGGGTCAAATCAGAATTTTTTTCCGCGGAGTGCATGCCCGGACCCCCTAGCAGGGCTTCGCGCCTTCGCCGCTCCCTACCGTCCGTGCCGGAAAAAAACGTTACCTGCTATTCATTGTCAAATTACCTGCTTTGTCAAAAGTTAACAAGAACCCTGACACCCCTATAAAATGAACATGCCTAAGAAAACAAAATGCAAAAGGACACTTGTTATCATTTCCACTGAATGACAATTATATATTATTCTTCTATTTTCTATTCCTTATGTTCATTTTGTGCCATATAACTAAGCGGGCGTTTAATTTTTTTACTAGTGCACTCCCGATTTTGTTAAATAGTATCAAGGTTTAATAATAACTCTTCCTTATCATCACCTGGTCAAAGAAGCCTTCAAGTTCAGGTGATTTCATTGCCTCAAGGGCCTCAAGTGTTTCTTGAGTAAGCAGAAACATGCGCATCACCACCGGACCAAACGTAAATGATCCGAACCTAGAAAATTAATCTACAATCAAATAGATACAGCAAACAATATCACAAATATTTCGTAATATCATGAAGAACATACAGCAGTAGTCTACAAATCGCATGGAGAAAGTTGGGATGGATCAAACATTGCTAGGACACTCACAGTTTCTATTAATATGAGGCCAGTGGTGGTGCACCGCTTGAAAATTTAACATCGCCGTTGTAAAAATCCTCCTGTATTTTACTGATAAGTATATCCTGTATCTATATACCTATAAGTATATCAATAGATCTTGTATTTGAATCCATCATGCGCACTTTTTCCCAAACTGGCCATTACCTCCTTTGTCTAATTTTCCCTCAGAAGAAATCCTGCTCTAGATAACAAGTGCCGCGGAGCGACAGCGCTCATCTAACGTCTACTGCGGTGACTCTGTGGTGGAGTGGTGGGATTCTAGTAAACCCTGTTAGTCCCAAATGTGTTCACATACACGCCGAAACAGTGAAAGCACAGGGATGTATCAGGAACCTTCTCAAAGGAATGTTCGTTGGATCATTATGAAAGTTGCCACGAGATGGCGCGTACGTTTAAGTGTCTTCAGATTAAAGATGGAAGCTCCCATCGTACGTAGTAGCAACAACTATTTGCAAGACAGAATAGGTAAGCACTCATCCATTTACCTACGCAAGCCTACAGGCTGAAATAGAGAGCTGCCACCTGTAACTAATTAACGCAGGCAAAAACTACCAGTACCACCACCACATGCACTGGCAGTGGCCACTGCAGTGGCATACGTTACATGTAACACACTGACAGTACAGAATGCCATAGAAATTATACGATTTAAAGAGCATAAACCTTCTTCAACCAAATTTAGCTTTTGAAATTCATTGTGACATTGTAGCCTCATACATCCAGGCATGTATGGATTCTACTAGCAAACCCGGCAGTCAAATTCTCTAACAGTAAAGAAATCCATGTTTAACCCGCCTCTTGAGGGTCAAAAGGTTATCCGACACTTACTCTTCGCATGTCAACAGAAAGTACATTTCATGGTCTTTCATAAAGCCATAAAAATGCTAGGTCACTGCTGAAACAAAAAAGTTTTTCAATCGCTCCGTCAGACCATGTCCTCAGAAAATGTCTAAATCTGCCCTGTGCCCATTGACCTGTGACCTCCAATTTCGGCACAGTGATGGCTTTTCCTACCATGATGCTATACACCGACTATCACGAGCCTAGGTCGAGCCGTTTAGATGTGTGCCGCAATTCTGCATTTCCTCCTATACCTTAAGTTAAGGAGGAAATGTTCCCCTCTTTTACACCTCTTGACCTTGACCTTTGACCCCCAGCTTCGACACCCCAACTCGTTTGACGATCCCCCCCCCCCCTGACGTCCCAAATATCGTGACCGTACGTCAAGCGGTTAAGATTTGTGCCTGTTAAAGGCATAATAGGCCATCGATTATGCAATTTTAACAATGCTAGAGTAACTGGCACCTTGTGTAGTTTAATAAGTACATTACCTTATAGCCAAACGCGTATTAGTTTGTCCAATATCACTGCTGTTTACTAAGAAATGTCTAATTGAATCCGCAGTCCACGAAATCAGTTGACTGACTTGTTTTACAGTTTCGAAACCGCGCATACTTTGAAACGGTTGTGATACAGATTTATATCCACCGGACATTTTCGCACGCATGCAAAAACGCACGCATCGCATGCATTTTCGCTCGACCGTACGCAATGCTAGCGATAGGTACAGTACCGTAACTGTATACATAACAGTAGCTCTGATGTAATAGAACTACGCGTACTACGCTATTTAATATATTGGTCAAACGAATACACCTGTGTCTGAAATTGAAGACATGTGGGTACCCGTTCATTAGCACGGTTATTTACTTGTGCCTATCAATACCAAGAAATACACAGAGATACATTCTACTAGCTCATTAGTCGTATATAATTATAAGCATCTCGGGACAAACAATTCTCTGCTAAACACCCGTGACGTTGCCTAACCGAATTCGAGGCTATTTTGCCTGGCAACCAATTTAGCGTTGGCGCCAGATTACCAGATTTACGGATTTCAATTAGACATTCTCTTAGTAATTAGCAGTGATATTGGACAAAAACTAATACGCGTTTTGACTATAAGGTAATGTACTTATTAACTACAGAAGTGCAGTTACTGTAGCATTCGTCAACTTTGTATAATCAATGGGCCTATTATGCCTTTAAGAACTGTTGACGCACGGACGGACGCACGCACGCTCATGCGATTCTTCAAGCTGCATCTGACTATGTCAGATGAGCTAAAAATCTTTGGTGCAAGAGAATAAGAGTATGAACCGAGGACATCCTCAGACATGAGACACTATTGTAAAGGAGAGCAGAAAAAAATCAGAGCCCAATGGTGCAATACTGAAAGGCTGTATAAAGCTGAGCTTGGTGAAGGGGTGTTATTAATGGCCTACGTTCCTCATTGCTCAACTCCCTAACTGCCAGACTGAGTTTGATTATGTAGCCAATAACACAAAGTTAAAACTTTAACCTGAAAAAGTGCCTACTCATGTAGCAGTTATCTGGATTGAAGGGAATATAGTTAACGATCAGTAGGATAGCTACAAAAATAATTGATAATTGTATACCTCATCTCTTTATTTTGAGAATTAAACTGCTTCATCATTCTCATGACTAAGTCCACATCTTTATCTGTTTCTGCCAAGTGTATCATGGATTTCAAATCCTCTGTGAAAATCATATTCTTCTCTGGCTGTGCCAAATAGTGGTCCATGCGTTCGCAGAACTTTTCCTGTGCTCCTTCCATTTGATCTTTACATCTTAGCTGAGTTCGTCTATAAAGCATATATAGACAATGAATTCATTTCTAGAACACATTTTATCCGCCCTACTACTCAAAAGAAAAAAAATGAGTACATGTATACATAGACATGCTAACACGAGTCATGAGCCACTATAACACCAAACGAGATATTACAATAATACACAACAATGTTATTGTTATTATAGGTCTACTTCGAAATATGAACATGAAAATTGATCAACTGAACTGGTTGCAAGATCAAATTCATGATAAAATTTTACTATGTTCCTTTATTAAGTACACCCAATACTGTATACAACACACACACCCTTTTACTACACACCACATGTTTACATGCATGCTCACATGTAAAACATTATTAATATTATATAGATACATCTATACATCTGGAGTTCGATCGTAACGCCAAAACACTAGATTTTACCGCTTAAAGGGATCCTTTACTCTAGGTACTAGGGTTATTTGTTTAAATTACGCTAAATAAAAAGTTTCATGGTTCAATCACCATTAGAATTTTTTTTTCATGTTTTAAAACTAACGACTACAGTTTGATTACAATGACGGTGGCGCCACTCAAAGCGCACGATCTGAAAAGTTGCGCAAAACGATTATTGCACTAGGGAGAAATACACATTTTACATATTAGGGTATTTGCTTATTTAGCGTATATGTCATGTGCTATTTTCAATAATGCTGAATAGCCGAGCTCGTAGAGCACCAGCGTTACGTCTTAAAGGTCGTTGGTTCAAATCCCATCGGTTTATTTTTTATTTTTTTTATTTTTTTATTTTTCTGGTTAGGGTTAGGTTAGCTCTAGTACTATAGCCCGCGTTCGATTAACTGCCGCAGGGCTATAGCACATTGTCAGCTGGAAATACCAACTGCAACCTGTTACCACCTGTCCCCATGAAAAATGGATCGCAAAACGCAAAGTTATCGGGCTTTTTAACACTTATTTATCTACATCTCCCCTATCTTTTTGAACACTCTCAACAACTTTACACCATGTATTTGTCCTTTTATTCACAAAGTAATGCACTACTGGCATTTCATTTTGAAACGAAGTGGCGTGCGCACGCGTGACAGTTACCGGATATGTACGCAAAACACATTGCAGTATGGGGCATGTATA